GGCTCTGCACTTTATTCCAATGTGTCCCCGTGGTTCACTGTCGACTCAATACAACTCTGAGTTTAATTACATTATGTTTTATTCACACTTAAGCATAAAGAGGGAGTGGCACCTGGCATGCCAGATTAAAAAACTGCAGGATTTTCTAAAGTCTAATGGACTCCTAAAATTCAACAGAATGGACGGAGAGGGAGGAGATGTGAGGGCAATTTGTGTAGAAAGATACGAGTCATAATTCAATCAAATGTGAACACAAAGACATGATACACATACTTGTACATTCAGTGGGACTCACAATTCCTTAAGATATCATTATCCCCAATGCCCATGATGAATAAACATCAATACTGTAAATCCGCTTCATAGATCAATGATGCTACTATAACTTAAGAATGATCAGGTTTCAGAGTTTATTTTTGTATTAAAGTAATCCAGTAATAGGTGTTGGTATATTCATGGGTACACTGCAAACAGGAAGTGTTAATAGCTAGTTCTGCTTACTATTAGTGGTCCCAATTTCCAGGAATTTTCCAAATCCTAGTAAGCGCAAATATGGTAAAATATGTGAAAATATCTGAATGAAGTATTGTGGAGCTGCAGACGAGTCCCGACCTTCAAAACTGTTTTCTACAGACTTAAAAAACCCTAACCCTAACCCTAACCATAACCATAACCATAACCATAACCATAACCATAACCCTAACCCAAGAAAATAAAACTATAATAATTTTAACATATTTTTCAATGATAATGTAAATAAGTTTCAAGAATAACCATTACTTTTAATAGTGAATTATAACGCAATTACAATATCAGTCAAAATAATCTCCGAATCTTTCTCCAAATCATGCAGCCCTAATTCTTAATCAAAGCTTCCACGGACTAATTGATTTACTTCTACCATCTATCTTTGTCTTTAGAGTTGTATACTTAGAACCACATAGTATTCCAGTGGTTGTTTTGAAGTCCTCAGACGTTTGTTGGAGTAAATATCTTGAGAGGTTTCTGGATAATGGCTCAGTGTTTGTCCCTCTGAGTGCAGATGAACACCTGGACTCTCCCTCCCTCTGCAGCTGGAAGTCCTCCTCTCTTCTATTCTTAATCTCCCTCCATCCCCCCCTCTGACAGAGGAGCACACCTCTCTGACTCGCTAAGTCACGCTAATCTTTTATTTGTATCCTCCGCCTCTGCTCTCACTTCTTCAATTTTAGCAAATTTGTTATGTTGATGAAGAGACAGTACAGTGACAATACTTTCCCATACAAGTAGTGAAGTTGGGAGGACAAAGAAATGAATATAGAGCATTTGTATCTGCTCAATGTGAGAGGCTCCCGTGTATGGATGTCATGTATAGTGTAAACAGAGTGGTGCAGGAATGAGTCCTAAAACCCAGGCATGAGTCAGTGTTTTAATACTTCCCGTTCCTTAGCCTGAAAGCAAAAGTTTTTTTTTTAATGTGTTTCTTGTCGTTATCCTGAAATGAGGTCTATTTCAGTCTATACCCCACTGGGGAATGCCTGAAGTCTTTATGCGTCTTTGAAAGTCGCTAACAAGTGACTTAATGACGCTACTAAACAAACATCACACCGAACATTAGCCACCTTTGGCTTAGTGGTGGGGGACGTGAAGTCATGTGAGGCGGCTGTGGCTCAGTGGGGTTAGTGTGCTGGACTTCGAATCAGGGGGTAACAAGTTCGAGTCCCACTGCAGTCAGCATGTCAGTGTGTCCCTGAGACACTTCACCCCAAATTGCTCCTGTGGGATTGTCCACAGTACTGAATGTATGTAAGTCGCTTTGGATAAAAGCGTCTAACAAATGACATGTAATGTAATGTGACCATGTCAGCATCATAAACATTTGTTTGACAGAGAGATTATTTTCTGCAATAATCCAAAATCCCATTGGCTTTTTGTCAAGGGAGCCCCAAAAATACATCATCCCAGCACCACTCTAATCAAAGGGGGCCAAAGCCCGACAATAAAAAGATGATAGGAGGCGTGTGTGGCGCAGTGGGTTAGTGCGTTGGTGTTCGGATCAGGGGAGCACAGGTTCAAACCCCACTGCAGTCAGCATGTCGTGTCCCTGAGACACTTCACCCCAAATTGCTCCTGTGGGGATTGTCCACAGTATTGAGTATGTAAGTCGCTTTGGATAAAAGCGTCTAACAAGTGACATGCAATGTAATGATACGCAAATAAGATGTAGAGATGCGAAACCTTCAGGTAGAGATTGGATGCAGGGTTTTTTTTCTTAATGCAATGAAGAGCTATTTAATTGTCAAGCTTATATACTGAACTGATAGTAATAACTTTAATGTGTGCACTGTGCAGCTGCATTATCCATGAAGTACCAGACAGGACTTCCTGCTGATACTCAATATTAAAAGGACCCTTTTTTTTTCATGAGCACGGTACCTTTTATAACCCCTCCTAACGGTGATATAACAGGAAGGACTCCGAGGTCTACTCCTTATGTCAGCTGTCGCTCCAGGTAACAGAGAGCAGATCGTGTTTCTGACCGTGCCCCGAGGGTTAATTAACCTTCACAAGTTCAAACATCCTCGGCCCCATGCTGCCTCAGGAGTGGCTCCTCTTTCAAATGATGGCTTATGGACAGAAAGGTCAGGAGCCAGAGCCCAGTCTGCTCTGATGGTTAGCTGGCCGGACTCTGTGTGATTGGTCAAACCGCTTAGAGATTCCCGCCCCTTATCCTATCACGTACAATGTGTTGGAGCACTAGCCAATAGAAGAATAAACGTTCTATACTGATTGCTACCTTTTTTCTTTTCTTCTATATTTAAAGAAAGTGTTCTCTCATTGCCGCTATCGAAACATCTCTCCAACTTTAAAACAATCTGACTTTTTTAAACTTTCGTTTCTTATTCCTGTTTGGTCCTCCACCAACTCCTGAGAAAAACATCTCTTAAACTGATACACATTTCTCTTTTCTTCACAGCTAGCTGCTCACCTTCTGTTGTTTGATGTTTGCCACCACCCTCACCAGCTAAGTGTGAATTCCCATTATCCTTGATGATGTCGATCGCAAAGTGATGCGTTGCCCCCCCGTTTCTTGCTAGATTGCAGGACCATTTATAAAACAAATTGTTGTCACTTCAACACACAAAACACGGGGGGGAAAAGGGTCTGAGTGGAAACATTTAAAAGTTACCATTGACGGTCTCTCTCTGTTTGGTAATGAAAGAGATTTCAAGTTGTTGTGAACATGCTTTTCTGAGGCACAGAGATTATAGGAAACCCAGGAAACACAGGTGGAGAGTTCAACACAAGCTTCATGCTCCTTCTTTGTCTCCCCCGGTTTCTATTCTGGCGCCTAATGAAGGAGGACAAATATAGAAAGGGTCCTAGCAACAGACTCAGTTGTGTTTGTTATACAGGAGAGGATGATATCTCAATGGACCCGTGAAGCACATCTGTAAATGCTAGCTATTTATGTTCAGAGTGAAGGGAAACAAACAGCAGAGGATTGCTGAGGATTACTGACGCACTTCTTCCTCCTCTGCAGGTGGTGGGATTCAGAGAAAGTCTGCTCACCCAAATGAACACAAAGAGGCACAGATTTCCTCTCCCCCTCCAGTGGGGTCCATCCAAGCAGAGAGCTGTGGGTTGATTCGGTCACAATGAGGAACGAGGACCCCCAAATGCCTCTTCTTCATCCCATAGTTCCATGCAGGTCTGACAACAACGTTTCATTACCCATGGCAGATCAGCCCTTCTGCTGCCTTGTACATCGTGTGGAAGTCACCGGATAGGCGAAGAAGTCAAACACCTTCGGAAAGTCACGAGTCAGCTTAAATCAATCTGTTTATTACACTGGTATGAACCCAAAATGAACATATGTGTAAGCTTGTGGTAAAGTCAATTCAAGCATCTAACCAAAAACACATCTAAACACCATTGACTTCCAGATGAGGGGAAAGGAGTGATAAAATGCCAACTATAATATAATCATTATTCCATGGCAAATCAGCCCTTCTCACTGACATCGTGTGGGAAGTCACAGATACATGAAGAAGTCAAACCCTGTTGGGTTCATAACATCGTCTGGAGACGCTCAGTGAGAGCTTTACTCACTGTCAAGTCACGAGTCGGCCTAAATCAATGTTTTTTATTACAGTGGTAGGAACCCAAAAAAACGATGGCGGCCGGTGATGATGGCTGCCGTGTCCTTTGGCTCCTCTCCAACTCTGCCTTTTTTTCGTATTATTTCAGTGTTTACATTCATCATGTCCTATATATATGTTGCACTTGTTGGAGGAGCCTGTGACCTGAGTTTCCCATTGACATATCTACACTGTAGCTATGTACAAATTGGTTGATGATTGGCTAATGGCCAAAAAATCGTTATGACATCGTAAAGTGGCCAAAATCTGATCAGCTCATTTTCAGACAGGTTTTTATAAAAATGGATCAGGACAAAAAGAGAGAGGGGACACATGTTGATGTAGAAGACATGAAGAAGAGAACAGGGACACAACAGAAGGGGGACACATGTTGATGTAGAAGAGACATGAAGAAGAGGGGACACATGTTGATGTAGAAGAGACATGAAGAAGAGGGGACACATGTTGATGTAGAAGAGACATGAAGAAGAGGGACACATGTTGATGTAGAAGAGACATGAAGAAGAGGGGACACATGTTGATGTAGAAGAGACATGAAGAAGAGGGGACACATGTTGATGTAGAAGAGACATGAAGAAGAGGGGACACATGTTGATGTAGAAGAGACATGAGAAGAGGGGACACATGTTGATGTAGAAGAGACATGAAGAGAGAGGGGACACATGTTGATGTAGAAGAGACATGAAGAAGAGGGGACACATGTTGATGTAGAAGAGACATGAAGAAAGAGGGGACACATGTTGATGTAGAAGAGACATAGAAGGAGGACACATGTTGATGTAGAAGAGAACATGAAGAAGTGGATTTTGCATAATAGGTGACCTTTAATATACAGTGTATGAAGTGTGTGTGTCTCACCTGGCAGGCGTTGTACAGCAGCTGGTGCTCGAACTTGCGGACCCGAGGATCTGCTGGAACATCTCGTACAGCTGCTCCTTGCTGAGGATGAGCTCGGACACGGCGCTCAGGTGCGCTCGCTGCGGCTGCCGGCGCACGTCCTCCTCTCCGCGATAGATGGCGTCGTACTTGGTGATCCAGGAGCTCAGCACCGTCTCTTTGCTCAGGCCGTCGATCTCCGGCAGGCTGCGACGACGCCGCTCGATGTTCTTCTTGAAGACCTCGCGGAAGTCGTTGGCCGAGCAGCCGCCGCTCTGACCATCCGGGAAACTCGCTCGCTCTTCAGGAAGCCCTGCAGAGGACAGAGGGGGATCAACAATGAGCACTAGTCTATTTATTTTAGAGGTGAATCCAGCTCGCACCGTCCTTCCAGCATTTCCCTATTTTGACCTATTTGTATATAAAGACTATATTGAAATTTAGATTGAGGTTTATTTACTTTAATTCGTTTATTTGACCTTAAAGTTACATAAAAATGTAAAAGTTTATACTAAATACTATTTTCTTGACTTTCATTAAAGATATTGTGAATGGGGAAATAAAAGAGATTGAACTTCTTATATATTTTTTTTAAATGTTGACTTTTTTTCTTTAACCTGAGCCTGTTTTCATGTTTCAGGCTCGAAAATGACATGCCCAAAACAAATGACTACAACTTAACTTCTAAAAAGGGTTATATGAATAATTTCTTTTATCAAGCAAGGTTACATCTGTGAGTTGATGTAGAAGTGTCAAAATCAATATAGATGTTTTTTATTTTAAAGAAAATTCAGATTTTACATAGTAAAAAACTGTAAATTATAGTGTCCGTCCAAAGATTATTTTTACTTATAGTGAAAACTACCCTTGGATGATGGGTTAGTAGACTAAAGCTTTAGGAATCCAAAGTACAACATATAATAAGTACCCTGTATCAAGATTGATGCAAAACAAGTGACATTTTACCTTTTTAGAGAGATTTAGCCAAAACCCCCACTTCTGGGGTCATTTGGGTGGATTTGGACCTATCTCTGGTCCCCCTTGCTCGATTGGGATCGTGACACAACCTTTCTGACCGTTAGAGCCAATAGATCGAAGGGGAGGCCACACACCACACTCATTGTAAAGAGAAAAGGTGGGGGCTGCGCGTCTAGAAATGAAACTAGATTTGCAGATTTTCTCCTTCTGGAGTTTGGAAACTAAAAAGCAGTTTTTATTGCTTATGGATTATCAGAAATAATTTCAAAGAAGGCACAGATACATTGGATGAACCTATGGATTAACTGCAGCATCGTTTTTTTTATCGTTTGAATGCCATTGAAGACCAGTTTTGACCAAGGTAAGCCATGTTAGCGTTTCAGCTACTTAGCTCCACATGTTTATGATGTACGCTTTCGTTTATAGCGTCGCGAATGTTTATCACTGAGTGTTGAGGAGGGCACCGTTAGATTCAGTGTCTCCAGGACACCAAAAACGAGTGGTTGGCTGTGCATCTAGGATAAGTAATAAGGGAGTTATTGTGAGTTTAAGTGCCGTTTTAGGTTACATTTTTTCGCTCGTGGCTAATTCAGAGGCTGAGTGCTAGCATTGTGGTTTTTTTTTTAATTTTTTTTAAAAAAGATCAGTTAGCGGAGTTTCTTCCCGTTACATGGATATAACACATTCATAGTTTTATTCAATATTAAGATTCCTTAGACGTTGTTTCCTGCAAATGACGCGTTTATCGCCGCCGGTACCGGGCGGATGGTGCGTAACAGGTTAAAAATATCTTTATTTAATTTATTTATTGCACACTCTTACTGTAAAAGTTTTATGTATGTTTACTGGCTAGCGCTCCAACACATCGTATGTGATAGGCTAAGGGGCGGGACATCTCTAAGCGGTTGACCAATCACAAGAGAGCCGACCAGCTAACCATTCAGAGCAGACTGGGCTCTGGTTTCAGACAGAGGGTGAAAAGAGGTGCTGCAGCACAGGCAGTATGAGAACAATAAAGAGCTTTTGAACATTAAAGCATGGAGACATGTCCCAGTAGAGACACTACATACTGATATACACCTGAACATCAGCAGGAGAGGACTCTTTAAAGTAGAGACACTACATACTGATATACACCTGAACATCAGCAGGAGAGGACTCTTTAAAGTAGAGACACTACATACTGATATCAAATCAAATCAAATCAAATCAAATCAGGTTTTATTTATATAGCACATTTAAAAGCGATTTTTGGTCGAGCCAAAGTGCTGTACATGTAATAAAAACACATTGCTACAAATCACAATAACGACAATAAATTACAACAGATATATCTTAAAAACAAAATAAAAATAAAACACAACGGAAAAGTCAGGAGTCGTTGCTCCGCTCTGACTAGAAAGCCAGAGAGAAGAAGTGTGTTTTTAGTTTAGATTTAAAAACCCCTAGGGTCTGGGCCGACCTCACATGGAGGGGCAGAGTGTTCCAGAGCCTAGGGCCAGCTGCTGCGAAGGCTCGGTGCCCTCGGGTTTTTGAGCCTGGTCTTAGGGCACTACCAGCAGCAGCTGGTCAGCAGACCTTAAAGCTCTGGCTGGGGTGTAGCGCTGGAGCAGTTCAGCTATATAGGCCGGAGCCAGCCCATTTAGTGCTTTAAAAAACAAATAAAAGGATTTTTAAAATCAATTCTGAACCGAACTGGAAGCCAGTGTAGTGAGGCCAGAATAGGTGGGTGATGTGGTCACGCTTTTTGTGGCCAGTCAGCAAACGTGCAGCAGCGTTTTGGACTAGCTGTAAGCGTTTATTGAGGCCTGGTCCATACCCACATACAGAGCGTTACAATAGTCCAGTCTCGAGGTTACAAAGGCGTTAATAACCCTTTCTAAGTCATTAAAAGATAAATACGACTTGGTTTTGGCCAATAGTCTTATTTTAAAAAAGCAGGATTTTACTACGGTGCTGACCTGCTTGTCGAATTTAAAAGTGCTAGTGAAGGTCACTCCAAGGTTCATGACCGAGGGGAGGATGTTTTTTTTTTGATAGAGCCCAGAATATCAACCGGAGAGGCTGGAGGTTGCGGTCCAAAAAAGATGACCTCGGTCTTGCTCTCGTTGAGGTGAGAAGTTTTTGCTCAGCCAGGATTTTATCTCTTGCTAAGCAGTCCATCAGCTGCTGTAGTGAGTGTGTGACATTTGCTTTGAGAGGCAGGTATATCTGTACATCGTCGGCGTAGCAGTGGAAGGGGAATGTTATGTTTGTGAGTATTGAACCTAGGGTGCAGTATGTACAGTAGAAAAAGGATGGGGCCCAGAATCGAGCCTTGGGGAACCCCACAGGTAAGAGGGGCTTTGGCAGAGGAGAAGGCACCTAGCTGTACCGAGAAGAGCTCCGGTCTGTCAGGTAGGACCTGAACCATGCAAGGGCAAGAGCCTGTGATGCCACGGACTGTTCAAGCCGTGACAACAGGATGCTATGGTCCACAGTGTCAAAGGCAGCTGTCAGGTCTAACAGCACCAAGACAGCTGGGCTACCTGAGTCGGCGGCTAGGAGCAGATCATTAAAAACTCTTAAAAGGGCTGTTCAGTGCTGTGCATGGGTTTAAAGCCAGACTGAAACTTTTCATGGATTCCATGGATGGTTAAAAAAGACTGCAGCTGGGCGTAGACTACTCGCTCCAGGGCTTTTGATAAAAAAGGTAGCTGGGAGATGGGCCTAAAAATTGCGAGAATGGAGGGGTCGAGATTTTTCTTTTTAAGGAGTGGCTTAACCACGGCATGTTTGAAGGCAGCTGGGACACCATCCTGAGTTAAGAGAGGTGTTTAAAAGTAATAAAATACTTGCTCCAACTGAATCAAAAACATCTCTGAGAAGGCGAGAGGGAATGCTTGTCTGAGGTGCAGTTTGTCGGCCGCAGGTGCTTGACTACATCCGAGAGAGAAGAGAGGGATACAGGCTCAAAGTGGTCGAGGGACAGCAGGGCACAGAAAAGGAGCAGGATCTGGGGTAGCAACTAGTGTGGCTAGCCTAAGAGCAGATACATTTTCAATAAAAATGTAAGAAACTTATCACAGAGAGTAGTCGATGGCACAATAGAAGAAACATCACAGGGATTAATGATCGAGTTGAGGACATTAAAAAGAACCTGAGGTTTATGGCTGTTTTTGGAGATGAACAGAGAAATGTGCTCTGTTTTGGCTGCTTTGACTGCCGTCTGGTAGTCAGAAAGGCAAGCACGAAGGATTTCTAGGGAGACATGGAGTTTATCCTTTTTCCATTTTCTCTCTGCACACCTGCAAGCGCGTCTGAGAGCACGAGTACAGTCATTGAGCCACGGCTCTGATAGAACTTTGGCGCGTCTAAGCGTAAAAGGAGCAACAGAATCCAGTATTAGTGTGCATGTCGAATCAAACATGGAGATAAGCTCATCAGCATTAAAAGCACAGTTCACATCTAATTTACACATCGGAGAAGCATTAAAAACATCAGAGAACTGTGAGGGCAGTCAAGGGGTTAATCGAACGCAGACGACGCGCCGGGGCACGTGATTCGACTCCTGCGGAAGGGATGTAGGTTGTAAACAGAACCGGTAAATGGTCTGAGATACGCGTTGCTGCACATATTTCATCCACAGATACAGACAGTCCAAACGATAATACTAAGTCCAAAGTGTGTCCTTTTTTCGTGTGTTGGGCCAGCCACGGACTGAACGAGACCAAAAGAATCAAGGAGATTTAAAAAGTCCCTAACCAGAGGTTTGGACTCGCAACACACATGGACATTGAAGTCTCCGGAGATCAAAACACGATCATATTTCACCATGATCCCGGACAGAAAGTCAGAAAAGTCATTTATGAAATCCTTATTACACTTTGGCGGACGATACACGACTGCGCAGAGTATAGGCGAGGCCGGGTTCAGTTCAAAAAGCTGCAACTCAAAGCTAGCATAGCTAGATACAGGGTGAAGCAATCGGCATTGAAGGCTAGCTCTAAACACTGATGCTATGCCCCCACCATGGCCAGTGGCACGGGGGGAGCTGAAGAATGTACAGTCAGGAGGAAGAAGTTCAGAGAACGGTGTATACTCGCCAGCGTGGACCCAGGTCTCCGTCAAGAACATAAAATCCAGTTCACGAGAGGTGAAGAAGTCGTTTAGCAGGAACGTTTTGTTTGCTATCGACCTAGCATTTAGCAAAGCCATGCAAAGTTTTCGCTCCGGGCTTGCCGAAGGTGTAGTGCGTCTCAGCTGACGAAGATGTACGTGTTGAACGCTGCGCGGGCCGGGAGCAGTCAGTCGGGCAGGAGGAGCTGCCAGCGGGCCCTCAGAGTCCGGAGCTCC